ACTATATATATATATATATTATACACACAAATGTATATATATTACACACAACATATATATATATATATATCTGTGTGATATTATTCATTTATACTACGCTCCTGTGATCAGAAATTTTCAGTCTACAGTTTCTATTTCTGGTTGTTATTAGTTGGTCGCTTTCCTGTAGGTCCTACAAATAACGTTAAATTGTTAAAAATCTAACTGATATGAACTAGTTGACAACTTGAGGATTTAAAATATGTAGTATTCATTATAATTTATGATAAATTACTTCACAACATTTATATAGAAATTAATAGTAATCATATTTTGGTGCCCTAATTATTATGTCTATTCCTAGGCAACCAGCAACTATCTTACATATTATCCCGAGGAGTACACCGTTGATGGGTTAGGAAGCACGGCACTTGGCCTAACCTTTATTGTAAACTATGGTCACTTTCAGTACGATATGATGACCTTAGGATGTAAAGCGACGGTCACTCAGAACTATTCGACATTCAGTGAAGAAATCGTCATCGGAGAAAATGTTGAAGCAGAAACACTTCGTTGTAAGCTTACTCTTATTACACTATTATTAGAAAATTAGAAGTGTTTCACATAATTTAAGCCATGCAGAGTATAGTAATGTTAAGTTCTGGTTGAGATTGTGTGGCTTACGTTAGATACCAGGATATGTTTGAAGCTATATATGGTGAATATTAAGTGGTGTGAATACTGTTTTTAATACACCGACAGTGTCGTAGTATCTATTGTAAACTACATCATCTTCTGGTAAATATTAAGATCTATTAATATAACAAAAACTGTAAATGGTTTAACCCGGGAAATGGTGAATGCGACCATAATGTCGAAATATTATTTACTGGGATTTTATCTTATGGCTTTGATTATGTAAACTCATAAACGCATGTAGAAAATAATCATTTTTATCATACAATATCGTCTTTCATAATATTTTCATTATATTTTTATCATGACAGTAAAGTTGATATTAATGTAGCCTTTATGGGGTGATTTTCAATATCATACAATCAAATCGCAGCATCTGCCTCAGATTAACCAAAGAAGCTAACGGGGCCATCAGGCAGAATAATGTATTTACCATTCTTTAAACCCTTGTTGAAGACCACTAATCATATCAGATTACAATTATCCGTTTAAAGGGTTGATTTTGAAATAAATTATAACGTATTTGATTTATATAAATGTTTGAATGTTAAAATATTTAATGTGCAAGTTCAAAGTTCCCTGTTTATATTGCCCTCAAAACCTACATGGCAAAACGCAATGTTTCAAATATTCCTTTCAAAGAAAGAGAAAGAAAATGGTGTTTTTTTATTGCAAATAAACAAAGAAAGAAAAACTATTAGAAACCGTTAGAATAGCTTTACAAAAAGTGGTATTTGTGTAACCTACTGCCATTAATACATTCTATCGGCATCTACAGTAAAGAATAAAAATAATTATTAATATTAGTCGATACTTCTGGCCGAAGACAATGTACTTATTTTGTTTGTCATTTATAAACTCGTTTATGAAAGAGATTTTCATTGATCTAGATTAAAGAACCAGACAAATTTTTATGCCACGACATTGTTAGTTTTAAATTTTTCATGGAAAGGCTGAGATAACATTCGATTTTCAGGACACTGGTGTTTCTGATAATATCACGCATGCTCAGCTTTGTTTTACATGAAGGAATAAATAGTAGCCGTAAAAAAAAAATGTATTAATAAAACAAACTAAACCGACGCATTTCTGTTATCTCATCATGGCGCCATCTTTCGACAAACGATAAAATATTATGTCAGTTCTACCAAATTATCTCATCATGTAAATGTTTGTGACTTCACGATGTGGTCGCTGTTGCCAAGTTAGTTGACATAAAACCAACCTGTAATTTGATTAAGTTTCTACGTTTATTTGAAATGAATCCACAATTAAGTATTAAGCTGTATTTTCGTTTTACTAAAATGAAAGTTTGAAAGCTTCTTGAAGCGATATTTTAAATAAGAAAACATTTTCACTAATTAAACCAGAAGAAGAGATAAAATAAAAAATGTTCAGAGATATGAATGAAGAGTTGTAGCAGTTAATAATTTCAAGTCTCGTGTTATATGATTTGATTATTGGTACATAAAGTAGATAGATCGTGGAGATCATTTAAACTACTGATACTGTATCAATGTACTAACTGTGTCTAACAGCTATGACTTGGCCCAAAGTATTAGTATGAATCTTGAATGAAATCATTACAAATATATTTCAATGCATTGCAAGCAAAAAAGTTTTACATATTTAACCTGCTATTTTACATGTATACCTTTGATAGCTAATCTCTAAAAGGTAAGCTAGACTTATACTGTATGAAAAATATAGTGTCTTGTTTGTTTGTTTGTAATTAAGCACAAAGCTACACAATGGGCTATCTGTGCTCTGCCCACCACGGGTATCGAAACCCGGATTCTAGCGTTGTAAGTCCGCAGACATGCCGCTGTGCTAAAGGGGGCAAATATAGTGTCACCATGCATTTATACAGCACAAAACAAAGAGGAAGTGTATTGTGTCTTTATAAACACGTGACAAATATAATATTTAAACACTAATCAACTAAACAGCATTTAGTCGCCACTTAACCAGAAGAAAGAAAAAACGGTTCCAGACATAAAAATCTCGTATTGTTTGGTATTATTATTAGTAGTATTTGGTATTAATGATTATTATAATTTGGTATTATTAGTACTGTCAGTTTTTTAATGTTTATTCTAAATATTGCATCTATATTTTTTGTTTCATTGACTGTGGGTCTCCATTCTTCAATCTTTACAAAACAGTTATTGAAATTGCTTCAACAGAATTAAATACTTCTTTATAAAATAATTAGTATTTTCAAGTTTCTCACTTTTGTAATTTCTTGTATCTTTTTATTTTTGGTGATATTTTTTCTATTCACGTTTCTAAAATGACATTACTTTTCTCGCCGTAGTTGCCCCCAGTGGCACAGCAGTATGTCTGCGGACTTACAACGCTAGAATTATGATTTCGATACCAGCGGTGGGCAGGTAACAGATAGCCCATTGTATTGCTTTGTGCTTAACTTCAAACAAACAAACAAACCAAAATCGCCGTACTTTATTCAATATTTTCAGACACTGATGTTATATGGAAACATATTTAAACTTTCGTATGCATATGAAACGTTTTTACATCAACCTTTCACACTATAGAATTACCAACTTATTTGCTGACATAATAATATAGACATGTCTTGATGTTTCAATCTATAAGTTCAGAAACATTACCTAAACTATACGTATTTCCTGAAAAAACAAGTGGATTTGTGTATGTTAAAAAACTTTTGACGTTGCACTATGATCGAGTATACATATTTGATGAGTTCTCAGTTTCGTTTTTGTTCTGTTGTTTCTACAACGTATTTCGGAGTGCAATTATTGCGATATATTTAATATTTTCAATTTTGTTAAAGGAAACAATTGTTTTAAAACAACTTGCGTTCCCTTCTAGCACCGTTAATGTGCGCTAAAAAATAAACCTTATGTCTTATAAATTAATACAGAAAACGTTAGATTCATTTTGATATTCACCTAAATAATTTTTAAATGATTGTATTCAGAAAAAGTAAGCTAAAATTACTCATACGCTGTACATTACAATATCACCTATTTTTTTTCTATTTTCTTTAGAAAAATGTAATATGTAAGTCTAGCTATGCTATTACACTAGTCTTATTTTAATAAGTTTAATTTATTTATATAAAAATAATTTTTTCTAAATCTTAATTATGTAATATAATATTAAAGTGGTAGCGTTTAATTTAGAATCTTTCAAACTTGTTTCGTGTAAAGTTTATTAATTTTTACGCTTAGCCTTGATTTAAAAGACATGTTCAAATTCTGCTTGTTGTTTAATATTTATAATAATAGCGTATAGCCGTCAAAAATGACGTGACAAGTACTTGAGTAGGCGATTTGTAACCGAAAACATAGGTTCTTGTCACACTCAATCTCATTTATAAAATTTTACATAGTACTAATATTTGAGATCTACGTTTGACATATCACAATTCACTCCAAGAGCATTTTGTTCCATACCAGAATTCATCAGTAAGTACTATTTGAAATATTAGTTCTAGGTATTACACAAAAATAAATGTTGTAATCTGAAAACACCTAAAGGTCGTTACGAAGGTTAATGACATTAGATGAGACAATTCTTCTTTTTCACCAAACTTTAAATATCACAGAAATAATTTCTTATCGAGAGTGTCTGAGATCATGCGTAGTTCCTGCTTTTAATAATACAATAATATTGTATATTCTACTAATAACACTGGGCAACTAAAAACAATTCTCTGCTTCTAGAAAAAATACAACTGTTTCTGAGTAATCTGATGATTCTGTTTCTAAAAATCATGTTGAAAACTACTGATCACTTCTAGTTTTCTAGTTAGGATAACGTTATTCAAAATATTTTTATATATCGTGAAAATAACTTTTTATTTAATAACTTTGTTTATATTCATGAAAATTACGTTTAATAATGTATAATCATATACTTTGATAGGTTTCTTTCATGTTCACAGCATGAGCAACAGGAATCGATGACTTAGTGTTCCAATTGTGCAAAAATGCAGCTTTCAGACTAACTATAGATGAGTCGATTAAAAGTCTCCATTCTTGAGGATGATTTTCAGCACCTAATTCTCCCATTAGTGAATCAACATTTGTAGTGAGAAGCAAGACTTTGATGGTGACTTCGGTAAATTGAAACTCTTCTTCTTGGAGCAGATAAATTCTATTTCTGTAAGCAAGAGCCAAGTAGTTTCTCATGCTGCTTTGATAGAGACGAGTCATAAATCAGACCATTTAGGTCTTGTTGTGTGATCAGATGAGACAGTTTATTTTGAGATGCCACAGGAATATAATTACTAGTTGAAGAGGATGAAGATGATTCATTGTCTTCTTCCTAGGATAGCTCTTCTGTTTTCCAATCTGCTGGAGGATGTGGCAGTGGAAGACGATCTTCATGAGGTATTGGCTTCACTGCATATGCAAAATCTGGATATCTAATGTACTGTTTAGTTTGTCTAAATATCCAGAAACATTAATCATGCAAAAATAAGTCAGCTAGATGACCTTTGGGTTCAGGCCATATCATGGGAACTATAAATGCCATATATGTTCTATTCTTATTCAGTCACTGTGTCAAGTCAGAAGTACAAACTGTTCAACACACACATATAGAGCCCAAAGGTTTTCTTGGTCACCAATTATACACCCAAAATAATGGTAGTAAGCTACCTTTACCTTGTGTGCGATGTTTTTCCTTCGTGAAACTATAATATATTTTCTACAAATGTAGCAGAAACTCTTTGGGTAATTTTTGTACTTTCGGACTTTACTTGAACCAGAGGCAGCCAGCATTTCAAATGATTTTCTAAATAAATATAAAATAATTTATGTTTACAGAACTAGAGTTTAATATAATTTAAAAATTAAAGTTTTACAGGATTTGATTATATCGCGGATATGATGTGAGGAAGAAGATCATACTTTGTTTTGAATGTGCGCGGAGCGAGGCGAAGTAACCAACTGAGTGAGTGAGAGGCAAGTGAGAGAGAGAGGCATCTGACTCCGCCTCTTCTATGCTCAGTCAAAGGGTTTCTCGGATGTTCTAGAAAACTGAGCATGTGAGGGTTTCGTGATTCCTGAGTGGAACAGATGAGCATGGGAATGAAGCAAAAGTGATGTAATTCGCTACAATTATATCGGAAACAAATAGAATATATGGACAATATATTTGGAATATTACACCAATACAATACAGTCAATGTTTGAAGTTATCAAAAATGCCGTTTGTCCATTAAACTTGATTTCACACCATAAATCTATCGTACTGAGTTGATTGCATGATATTCCACATAGTGCTGTTAAAATAATGAGATATGACAATAACTCAAATCTACTGGCGATGGACAAATTCTGACTACATTTTTGAAATTAGCACCATCAAATTATCCCGAATCACTTGAGTTTTCTCAAGTAGCAAATGTTTTGTTGTGCAGTGTGATATACGATATTTCTTTGTTTGGCTCAGAATGTTTCTCTCAAATGAGTTAAGTTATTTTTCAAGCTTTAAATATTCTATGTTTCCTTCAAAAACAGTTAATATCGAATTAAGACAGTGACATTTGGTAAAACTAAGTAACTCAAATGCTACATTTCATTAATATTTTAATCTATATTGGTTTCTATATTGTAAAACATTCTATCCAAATTACCTCCATCAAACTGTGTTTGCTTGAGCATGCTAGTCTTAATATTAACTCTAACTGTTTAGTAGAGCTTGTTAACATTGGTCAGAATAATACATGTCTGTCTAACTATTCCGTACAAATTACCTTCATCAAACTAGCGTGTTAATCATAATGTTAAGTCTATTTTTAGCAGAGCATGTTAACACAGGCCAGAACAATATATGTTGTAAAAATCGGTATTTTCTATTAGTAAGTTAGTCGAGCAGGTTCAGTGTATTTGCTTGAAATAATAACTAAGTCATTGACTGTGAATCTGAATTTTGAAACAATATTCGTCATCGTTCTACGTTAATAACGATACGTTTCCGTGACTGCTTGTTACGTCATACAAATAATAAATCAATATCTGTAGGAATCATATATGAACTCTTGTATCTAGAGCGAAGATTATTCTAAAAGCAATATGTTTATTTTTATAGTGCGAAAATGTCATAATATCACTGAAATTATTTTATCTTAACTTTTATATTAACGGGTAGGTATCTCAGATAACTACATTTGTTAAGCGACAGGTGGATTATTATTGAAACATCAAAGTAAAGGGATAAAATAAATTCTTTATCAAACTCTGGCCGTGTTATAATTTACTTCAAAATCGTAGCTTCACAAGTTACATCACGTGGCAGGCACAGCACGGATAGATTATTGTGTAGCTTTGTGCAAAAACAAAATAACAAGATATATCACGTGGTAGGCACAGCACGGATAGATTATTGTGTAGCTTTGGACAAAAACAAAATTACAAGTTATATCACGTGGTAGACACAGCACGGATAGCTTATTGTGTAGCTTTGGCAAAGACATAATAACAAGTTACATCACGTGGTAGGCACAGCACGGATAGCTTATTGTGTAGCTTTGGACAAAAACAAAATTACAAGTTATATCACGTGGT